CATCAGGCAATGTGGAAGAGAGTGAGAGGAACTCAGCTGCTCGGCCAGCAACTGACGTGCTGTGACTTAACTTATGGAGTCGAGTTACATTTGACATTGTAGGCAAAAGCCAACTCTATATTTAGGGCAGAAACAACTCAAGCTATGCAGTCTAAGCTCAGGGGAGCCATGAAAAATTATGTTACAGACACACTTCAAACAAAATAACATTGTTATGTGCACACAAAAATGCCTAAAAGGATAGTTTACCCAAAAATGAAAGTTCCGTCATCATTCACAGCTTATATTTTTCACATTTTCAGATATTACATTCATTTAGCAGACACTTTTATCCAAAGCTACCAATAAACGATGATAAAAGAAACACTTCAAATCACCTGAGAGCAGTTGTATATACATCCCAAGACACATAAACATTCATACACATGCACAGACACACACAGATAAACATAAACCCACTCATCTCCATAATATACAATTAGTAGTGCACAATGAACGCTTATAAGAAGGTGTCTGGTGCATATGGAAAGAAAAAGAGTGTATCTCTAGGTAGTTCTTCTTAAGCAGCAACTGCTTGGAACACAACAGTGTTTTGAGAAACACCTCAGATTTCTTTTAGATTATGGAAATGGTTAAGCAAATATTGAAAATGTTATTCCAGGGGTGTTCAAACTCCTGGAAGCTTTTAGCATATCAAGTAAGAGCTTGATTAGCTGTTTCAGGTGTGTTTGATTAGGGTTGGAGCTAAACTCTCCAGGACACTGGGCCTCCAGGACTGAGTTTGGGCATCCCTGTTTTAATTTATTCAGCTGTGCTCATGCTAAATTCAGCATATGTTAAAAAGAAGTAGGCTTAGATTGTGGTCATTCGTATATTTATAATTTCTCTACAGTTATATAAGCAGGGCTTAAAATGAACTCACCAAGCACCAAATGCAAACCCATCTGTTGACCAGTTACATTTTAGAATTAATTTGAATGTTTTGAGTGTCTTCTCTAAGTTCTAAGGGTTGATACAGACCAAAAACCCTATATTCAATTCAATTTAGTTTAATGTTTGAAAGCAAAGGATAAACATTAGCACAAAAGGAAATTTTAATATTATTATGGTAATAGTATGGGTGGCATGGTGACTCAAAGGTCACTGGTTTAAGTCATGGCTGGAAGAGTTAGCATTTCTGTGTGGAGTTTACATGTTCTCCCCGTGTTGTTGTGGGTTACCTCCGGGTGCTCCGGTTTCCCCCATAGTCCAAAGACATGCTGTACAAGTGAACTGGATGGCCTAAATTGGCCGTAGTGTATATGTGTGTGTGTGTGTGTGTGTGTGTGTGTGTGTGTGTGTGTGTGTGTGTGTTGCATCTGGAAGGGCATCTGATGCGTAGTCGGTGGTTGATTTTGCTGTAGTGACCCCTAATAAATAAGGGACCAAGCCGGAGGAAAATGAATGAATGATTATTAATAGTAATGTTAATAGTATTAGAGATGTAGATTTAGGTACAGTTTAGTCATTTTGTAGTGATATTTGTGATTCAGCTTTCATAACTAAATTAATTTGAAACAATAAAGATTTTGTTCTGAACATTTTAAATGAAATTACACATTTTTTAGTTAGATGCATTTTCTCTTAAGTCACCAAACATATTTTTGACCATTTATTAAAGCATTTCCTTTCCATTTATTTGAAAGAGACTTTTACTTTGTAACAGAACAGGAAGCTTTCTTGGTGCATAAAAACCGCGGAATGGAAAAACTTCTCTTTAAAGCTAAAGTACAGCTGTAAGAAAGCAAAGGTCATGCAAGGAAACATGCCTGTTTTTATTTGCCCTGTTTGTCCAAAGCAAAACTCACTTCCTCCTTGAGTTTCAACTTTGCCTCCATCTAGAGGAACACTGAGGAATTTTTATGAAGGCTAGAGGATCGTCTCTGTAAAATAGATACTGTAGTTATTATTTATGAATGGGTTTAATGATTAATTCAAGTGCAAGTGCAAGTTAATGCACTGAAAAAAAATGTTTTGTTTATTTTAAATCAAAGTCTGTCCATTTACTTTCATGTTTGGACTGGTGGTCATTCTCCGTTAACGTCAGTTTGAAGGGTTCAACCACAAAATTAAAAAAAAAAAAAACTGTTTTTTGTAAAACTTTTTTTGTTTCCACCCCCTCAATATTGTACTTTAGTGTCTTGGAAATAATGCTCTGTGCTATGTTATGTTGACTGTAGTAGATACAGTAATTTATTAGAGAATGAAGTAATGTAGTAGGCTAGTTGTATGTTGTACACACAAACATCAAGCCGGTACTTCCATTTTTATTCATACACAACCCAGACAACAAAAATGAAGTGTTTCCACTTTCTTCTATGGTAGACAGGTGAAGGTAAAATGTTCCAGCCTGGCTGGTAAAATCCTTTAGATTTTGAGCATAAATGTACACAGTAGTGATCATGAGTGGAAGATGCAGTATTAAAATCCCACCTAAACCCCCACAGACCAAAATCACACAATCAAGACATCACACTCCATTTTTAAAGCATTAAACAATAAACTAAAAGCAAAGTAAGATGTTTACGCAAGTGTGGTTTTGTTTCAAAATGGTCCTCAACCCACACATCAAAAATCAATTACATCACTGTCCTGTAATCGATTTTTGCTGTGTTTTTGAGGCCAGTGTTAGATGTCAATTTGATGTAGTTTTGACATCAAGGTAGCTTTCATGCATAGTATGGATACCAAAAAGCAGTGTAAATTTGGAATTGAAGCGCTCAGATAGTTTAAACCGTGTTGGGGTATGGCATACATGATATTTGTTCATTTCACTGCCACTGTTTCTTTAAGAAAAACTTTATAATATTTTTGTTGGAAAGAGGAAACCTTAGAATGGCCAATGATGTGCTTTGGTTAAGTCACATAACATGCAACGTTTTTCTGTGGAGAGATTTCTGACAAATCATGTCACAAAAAATGGGAAACATCACCTCCAGTAAGTTATGATGACATGTTCACCACTCAAAAGTTTTTATCAAGTGAGTTTTTTAAAAAATCCATCAAATGCTAAATTGCTAAATGGCAATTTAGCAAGAAGGTCGCTGGGTCGCAGGTTCGAACCTTGGCTGGGTCAGTTGGCGTTTCTGTGTGGAGTTTGCATGTTCTCCCAGCGTTCGCGTGGGTTTCCTCCGGGTGCTCCGGTTTCCCCCACAGTCCAAAGACATGCAGTACAGGTGAATTGGGAAAGCTAAATTGTCTGTAGTTTATGAGTTTGTGTGTGTGAATGAGTGTATGTGTGTGGATGTTTCCCAGAGATGGGAGGGCATCCGCTGCATAAATACGTGCTAGATAAGTTGACGGTTCATTCCGCTGTGGTGACCCCAGATTATTAAAGGGGACTAAGCCAAAAAGAAAATGAATGAGTTTTCATTAGTGGAATGTCAGGAAAGTGCAATATTGCAATAACTTAGCTAGCAAGGTCAGCTGTGATCTTTTAAGTTGTAACAATAACATGAATGCTAGTAGTATAATGTTGATTAGTAATATGGCATTTGAATTATGGATAAAATCAAATGTTTAATGGCAATAGTTTTGATTAGATATAAATACACTGTAAAACCCAAAAAGTTAAGGTAACTCAAACTGTTTGAGGAAACCGATTGCAACAAACCATAAAAGTTCAAAAACTAATTCTGAGTACTGTGAACTTCCTCCATTTGAGTAAATGAAACAGTTTGAGCTCAGTAAAACCCAATAAATGAAGAGAACTCAAACCAACTGAGTACTGTAAAACCCAATAAGTTAAGAGATCTCAAACCGTTTGAGTTTAAAAAAACCTAATCTATCTGAGTAATGTGAACTTACTTCATTTAACTTACTCTAAGTAATGAGGTATGTAATTAACTCATTATCTTCAACACTGAGTTTAAAACTCTTTTCAAATGAGTAGAATTAACTTTCAGTAAATTTTGAGTTAACCACTCATTTCATTTGATAAAGTTGACTGTTGGGTTTTACAGTGTACAGGGAACAGTGTATTAGCGAGCACCACCATGTTCTATGGTAAATGAAAGAAGAAAAGGACAGAACTGGCTCTTCCTACAGATAAAAGTGAGGATGCGATGGGTTTTAGTGACCATGAGAATGATGTATGGACATTATATAAGAGCAGTGATGGAGACAGTTTGGGTAAGTTAGCTCAGAGGCATATAAGACAATTGTAGTATAGTATATGGTATAAAAAACATTGTTACATTATAATTATATATTTATGTAGTTACAATATATTTACTGGAGAAAATACGTATATTTACTGTATATTGTATACATGATAAGACAATGTAATGTTTGTTTTCAATAATATTCAGCAAAAAAGAATGGAATAAATGAAAGCTGTTGGAATATCAGTTGTTGGAAAGTGTGTATAAAGTGTTGTTTACAAGTTCTGTGTTACAGTTTATTTAGCACTGCAACACCAATTAAATCAAGACAAGCAACTAAATTATTAATTATAAGGAAAATTCTAAACTAGAAATATTTAAATTAGATCCACTATTGCACGTTGTTGCCAGAGGATACCTTAAAAGTAGCTTAAAAATCTTTTTTATTTTTCAAAAAAAATTTAACAGCACTTCAATAGCTTCCATCATGTTTTTCAACAAATGTCAGTGGGATGTTTTGACATCAAAGTACTCACTGCATTATTAATTAATTTTCTTCTCGGCTTAGTCCCTTTATTATTCTGGGGTCACCTCAGCGGAATGAACCGGCAACTTATCCAGCACGTTTTTATGCAGCTGATGCCCTTCCAGCCGCAACACATCTCTGGGAAACATCCACACACACTCATTCACACACACACTCATACACTATGGACAACTTAGCCAACCCAATTCACCTGTACCGCATGTCTTTGGACTGTCAGGGAAACCAGAGCACCCGGAGGAAACCCACGCGAACGCAGAGAGAACATGCAAACTCCACACAGAAACGCCAACTCAGCCGAGGCTCAAACCAGCAACCCAGCAACCTTCTTATTGTGAGGCGACAGCACTACCTACTGCGCCACTGCGTTGCCCGCTGCATTATTGTTCAAGCCAATTTCATGTATTGGTGAAGAGCAGGATGCATGAATTCTTTGCCAAGTCAAATCTATTTTTAGTAGCTTTAAAAAACACTTAAATCTGATGATGGGTTACACTGAGACTTCTCCACGATCCTAATACCTAAAAACAGAAAACACAAAGCAGGTTGTTTCACATTCATATAAAAATGCTATAATATAAGATCAACTGCATGTGCTTTTATCACCTGTAGTAATTTGGTTTGAAGGGGCCGTTTTTGCTCAAGCCCATGTATTTGGCTTGATCATCTGTGAGTTCAGTCAGATGAGCATCAAAGGTCTGAAGGTGCAAACTTGCAACATACTCGTCTGGAAGATAAAGTCTTAAATCAGTTTGTGATGTCATTATCATTTAAATGTGATTCAGTATTCAGCTAAATATGGATGAACAACATTGAATTGTGACATGACAAGGGGTAAGAGATATCGGAAATATCCTGGAAAGTCGATTCCAGACAACAAAAGTCAGCCAATGTTTTATAGGTTTTGCCAAAGTCAAGGAATATCAGGTATTTTTGTTTACTTAAAAGTTTGCTTCTTCCTAAATAAATTACTTTATCTTACATCATATTAATTTTCTTTAGATTATTACAGCCAAAAATTAATGAATTTTCTGCTGTTGATTTTCTCAAAGTTTAAAAATATACACAAATTCACACCCTAATTCATCATTTTTTTTTTACTTCAAGAACCATTGGTCTCTGTCATTTATTTAAAAGGAAAACTGAGAGAAACAAAGAGAGAAACTGTTTACCTTTTAACCATATAAAACCAACTAAAACTTTCTGTAAGCAAATATCATGTTATTTACAGTGCAGATGGCATATTTGAAGAGTCTTGGATGACCAAATGTTATTTGCATCAATTAAAAAACAACAAGCTTCACAAAATTTAGTTCCATTTGCATAATTTTGCATTAAATCAGACCTATTATTCCTCTTTTTACAATATGTAAAATAAGTATCTGAAATAAATGTGTATGTGGAGTTTCAGCTCAAAACTACCTCACAAATAATCTTTTATATCTCCTTAAAACTGCCTCTTTTTGTAACCACTGGGAGTGACATATACAAGTGAGGTAAGATCCAAATGCAGGTTTATTCGTGGTCAGGCAAGCAATGGTCAATACAGGTGCAAACGGGTATGTGTAGGCAGTCCAGAATCGTAATCAGTAACAGGCGAGAGGTCAAAAGGCAGGCGGCAGGCAGGGAGAACAAGAAAACAAGGCTAGGTCTAAACATGGGTAAACAAGACAAGGAAAACGCGTTGTAGTGCTACTTACAGTGAACAAGACTCAGCAAAGAGAATAGGTGAGTGTGTGGCTTAAATAGTGTGTGCAATCAGTCTCTGACAATCCTCAGGTGGTGCAAGTAATCAGTCTAGATGAGGAAGCATGTGTGAGTGTCACCGGAGTGCATGTATGAAAATGTAGTCCATAAATGGCGGATTTGTAGTCCATGGTTATTGTCAGTGCAGTCCAGCAATCTTATGGAATATGATCGCTGGTAATCGTGACACATTTATGCTTTGGTCAAATTTTGACATTTTGGAGGTGGCTGCTTTAAATTCAAATTAGCTCTTTTCAAAAGAGGGTGGAGCTACAACCATCTGCATCACCATAGCAGCAAATTCAAAACAGGACTAACATTATCTGTGTAATAATCTGAAAATGTAAAAAGAAATGTCTCAGAACAAGACAGTATATGGAGGCTACGGTGTTCATTTGTGCATCCTAAAACTCTTAGTCACTGATATTTTCCTGACATGTAAAACAGTAATGGCAAACAGCTGCTTCCCACTCAGGGCTGTTTATGCTAATGTGGGAAATATTGGTGACACTTTATTTTGATGGTCCGTTTGTTGAATTTAAGTTGCATTGAATCTACTGTACATGCCAACTAATTCTCATTAGATTATAAGTAGACTGTTAGGTTGGGGTTAGGGTTATGGTTAGTGTAAGTTGATATGTACTTGCAAAGTTTATATAGTCAGTTAAACTTCTGTTGAAGGAGCGGTATCAAAATAAAGTGTTACCAAGAGATCATCACTAATGTGCAGGGCTTTCACCCACTGACACAAAAGAAGAATGTCAATCAAAGTGTTTTAAATTCAGTGATCCAGATTTTTTGGAGGGACATAGCAGCTGTCTGTTTTTATGTTTATTAAAAGTCATGGAAATTAAGTTATTTAGTCATTAAAATCAGGTAAAAGTCGGGTAATTTGGTTTTGGTTTAGTGAAGAAACCCTGATTTTGATTCTTACCCAGTTTCTTGGGAAGAAGGTAGACATCTTGCTTGTAACGGCCCTCAGGAGCATTGAAGAGCTCAATCAATGCCAAAGCCTATCAAGAAAAAATGCAAGAAAAGAAAAGAAAATGAAGCACTCAAACGAATTTGAATAGACAGCCAGTATACACACAACCCAACAATAGCTTGAGGCTGTCGTGTTTTCCATTTCCATTGTGTTTTACTAAATGTTTAAAAGTCTTTGATGTTTAGGCAAAGTAATAGTGAAGAACTTTAGCCTTCAGGGTAACTACCTAAAACAACTCAATTAGATTCATGCATGAGTCCATACCTGTGTTGTGGCTGTGATGGAAAGAACATATATGGGCACAGTGGAGGAACTTAAATTAAGGACACGGCCCTGGAATCAAATGGAGTAAAACGGTTACATTTTCATTAACCTTGATGACCAATAAGCTTGTACTGTATATTATAGCCTAAAATTGTAAAACACATTTCTAGATCCTTTGTTGTTCTACGAACATGTCTGTCTTGACGTATGAGCGTTATTCACATTCTCCTAAATGTTGTAGGAGCAAACACAGCCTTTTTTTTTTTTTTTTTTTTTTGAGGATTTTGAGGTCATTCATTTCCAGTTCTTTTAGATGTACAAACAGCCTGCTGCTTGATATTGCATATTGGTATTTGTTATCATATTGTTTTTAAGGGATAGTTTAAAAATACATATATGTAATTATGCATCAGACATTATGTAGTCACGCTGTTATTTTTCCAAGGCGTATGGCCAGGAAAATGAGACATTTCTAAATCTAAATTAGTTTGTTCTGGCTCATTTAATGACTTTATTAGCATAAATTGCTTTTTTGAAGAAGTAAAAACAATCAAAGATATTTCTCACAACTATACATACCATATTTTCCAAACCGTCTGAGTGTAAATTATAGGATTTGGTAAAAAAAAAAAAAATCTTGTTTGTTATTTGTTGTGCGTAGCTGCATAAACACTTTCTACTTTCTTCACTAAGTTGGAACTCCTGTGGTCAGATAAATGTAATAATTTCTGCCAGACTAACTTCATGGACTTGACTAAGTTATACAGTAAAATGGTCTTTACTCTTTAAATGTAGGAATTGAACAGATAGTGTATTATTGAAAAACATAAAAATAAGCCTTATTAACCCAGCCTTATTAACTCACACTATCAACCCACCTAGCATGTTTGGCTGTGGCAAGTCAGTACATAGAATTCGAAATATTTGCTTAAGTTGTTGTTTTTTGTATTGCAGTATCTCAACTGCTATGACTAAAATCTCAAACAGTGTATAGTAAATGCTTTAATGTCATTAAAAAATAATAATAATAAAAAATGCATCAACCGGTGATGGAGTTTTCTGTGTGTAGATATTTGCATGTGTTTCATATTGGTTTTCCAGTTCATTATAAAAAAAGGTATAAGATGAATTTTACATCCATTTTAGCCATTCAAACAGGACTGTTTTCCAGAGGCATGTTCACCCAGGTAAGCTCGGGTTTAGTTTTGACCAAACTCTGAGTTTTTGGGCTCATGAAGGCAATAGTGTAAATTAACAAATTACAAATACTCAAATTACTGTAATCGAGTAGTTTTTCTCAGAAATTCTAATTTACTAAGTAGTTTTAAAAATGTGTACTTTTACTTTCCTTTAAGTACATTTTTAGTGCTATATTGGTAATTAACTCCACTACTTTCTTTCAACCTGCAGTCACGTTTTTTCTTGTCTATGGGGATTAGAAAAATCAGTCCTTCCATTTCTGACCAAGACATGTGCCATTTATAATTGCAGCAAACTGTTTAGAAGCATTAAGTGTCAAAAAAGATGGGTAAAATCTTTACACGCAATGACCAAGAGACTGCTTAGATGCATGCCACTGATGAGAAGTTGACGGATGTTTACTGAATGATAAACGAAATGGCCCAGCAGGCACAGGGTGTCAACATAATGTTAGATTGACGATGTACCCCAACGTCGTGAGGGCGTTGCATTTTGTTTGGAAATGAAAATCAGGTTGACGTCAAAACTCAACATCAGGTGACGTCTATGACCAACATCCAATCTACAGTCCATCAAATATCAACATCAAATAATGTTACAGCTTGATATTGTGTGGGTGTTACCAATATGACGTCTATCAGATGTTGGATTTTGGTTGCCATACCTAATGAATAACCCTCAGTATTTGATGTCAATAGGATCTTGGTTTAAGATGTTGGCTCGATGTTGAGTTTTGGTCACTTTCTAACACAAATTAAATCTACCAAATATTAACACCATTTGACATCATTATTGGGCGTCAAAATAACATTATCCTTGGACGCTGGGTAGACATTGAATTTTGGTCACCTGACATCACAATCTAAATCTAACCTAATATTAATGTCTTATGACATTGTGTGACTGCTGGGCAATAACTTGATGCACTACAGAATGTTACGTTTACACACATTCACAAATTACATGTAAATTCATCAGTTTTTCACAGTGTAATACTCACTACTCACTACTCTTGAATACTTTTGAAAGGTCTACTTTTTACTCATAGTTTGAGTAATATTTACAACGGATATTTTTACTCGCACCTTACATTTTTAGGCAAGTAATGGTACTTTTACTTAAGTATGATTTTTTTCAGTACTCTTTTCACCACTGCATGAAGTTGGATTGTTTTTGATTAGGTTTCATTGCCACTTTAACTTGTGTTATGCATGCTCCTGCTTGGTTGCTTCAGACTCTGGCTTTTATTCTAGATTAGAGATTGCAAAATCAAACCAATCAGACCAATCAGCTGTGAGAAAATTGACATTTATATGTGATGTAACAAAATTACTCCGAATCTCTGACCATCTTTTTTTTTTTTGCAAGTTAAAGCCTTTTACACACAAAAAAGCATTTTTAGTAACTTTTACTAATATATAAATTTTCATGATCCCTTTAAGGTTTGTTTTGATATCACACCCAGAAAGCCTTACTATAATATGTAACAAATCAAACGATTGTTTGATCATTTCATTTTTTTTGGTCCCACTTTATATTAAGTGGCCTACTAATATATATATAATATATATAAATAATATGTAATTACATAAAAATTAATAGTTTGTTACAATGTACTCATTGTGTAAATACATGTATTTACTTTTACTTGATTAAATACATGTATGTAGTTACATTGTAATTACATTTGTAAATACACTGTTGACCATCCCTTACACCTTAACCCACCCTTAGACCTACCCAAGCCACCAAACCTGTCTATAACCCAACCTCTATCCCAACTCAAAAGCACCACACGTGATCTCAAATACATTATAAACACAGTAAGTACATTGTATTATTATTTTTTTTATGTAAGTACATAGTAGTTAGAGACACTTAATATAAAGTGGGACTCATTTTTTTAAGCCTATGTTGGATGGTTTCATTATATGATTCCCTATTCAAATGATAAACATGAGGAGGACATTATCTTTCATTTCTCCTTTTGTGATATGAAAACCAAAGCATACAGCATTGGAACAACACCAATGTGACTAATTGATGACTCTAGTTTTGATGACACTTGTGTTTTGGATATTCCTCTAGTTATGTTCCGGCACTAGCTAATTAAATGTCTAATGAAAATTCGCACACTCAGTACTATTTTGATACTACTACTGATTTCTCTCACCTCTGCCAGAAGAATCATTCTCTTTCCATCAGGCCAGATAATGTGATCCACTTGTGCTCTTACATGCTGCCATGTTAAGTCAGGAGTTTTCAGAGCACTCTGAGAATACAAAATGTAGTCTAGAATTCCCAAAACCACAAGCTGTCGTTGTCAATATCTGTAGGTTACAAAACCACTTACAACATTGATTTCTGTATTGGAGCGCCCCATATTGCAGACAACACAGCCATTCTTCATTACATCCATGTGTTCCCGCACAACAACGTTTTTGTTACCTGTTTAAAATTAAGTTGTTAACGTAAATAACAAAGTGTGATTAATAGTATAGTGTGTTTTATTTACTACTCGCCTGTACAGGTGATGACCATGTCCACTTGTCTAACAACATCACTAAGTTTGGTCAATCGAAAGCCATCCATGCTAGTCAAAATATAACGCAGTGTTATGTGTGATGCTGATTTAACATTATGCTAACTTTCAGTAGAGCTCTATTGCCTTACCATGCTTGCAGAGCACATATGGGGTCAATTTCAGTGACATACACAATAGATCCCATTGCTTTCAGAGCAGCAGAACAGCCTTTTCCCACCTGTGGGCACCAATATTTACATTTACGCACAAAAAAACAAAGGCTTATGCTAAGCTAATGCAGTGACGTACATTGTTCTCAGGTGGCATGTTGTTGACAGTAGAAACCAAAATTAATTAACTTACTTCTCCGTATCCACACACAACCACTTGTTTTCCTCCAAACATGATGTCAGCAGTCTTTTTAAGGCTGAGGGAACAGGAATGACACTGAGTGTAGGTTTAGTTTTTAAAATTAGTATTAACTTAGGGATACATACAGTACTTGTATCATCCTACCTATCCAAAATGGACTCCCTGCAGCAGTACAAGTTGTCAAACTTCTGTTTGGTGACAGAGTCATTCACATTTATGGCTGGTACGCATAACTTTCCAGCTTTGGAGAGGTGATGAAGCCTAATATATGTAGTATAAAAGAATATAACATTTCATCACGCAAACACCCTAGTGTCAATGCAGTCAAATTATCTATAGACCATTTTAAGGGATGTAAACAAAAATAGTGGTCCTAATATATTTTTTAAATTTCTATAGCTTCCGAGAATATTTGACTGTTTTTCTTTTCTTAAAATGGCTTAACTTGAAGTGCTGTAAAAAAAAAAATGGAAAAAATCTTTTTTAAGGTACTTCATGAAATGTTGAAGTGTGGCAACAACGTCCAACAGTGGATTTAACTTAGAAATATAAAATTTAGAATTAATAATTTTGTTGTTTGAAATGATTTAATTGGTGTTGCAGTATTATAAGCTTTAACACAGAACTTATAAATGCCACCTTATACACACTTTCCAACAACTCATATTCCAGCAGCTTTCATTTATTCTATTCTTTTTAGCTGAATATTATTAAAAAGAAACCTAATATTGTATTATCATGTAAAAAATATACAGTAAATATAAAGATTTTCTCCTGTAAATATTATAACAAATAAATAAAAAGTATAATATAATCCGACCATTTTAAGGAATGTAAACAAAAACGATGGTCCCAATGTATTTCCTGTTGTACATTTTTAATTTCTATAGTTTCTGAGAATCCAAAAAGAGTGACATATTGATAAATAATGTTATGATAGCTGTTTTAGCATTAAATTTTGATTGAATTGTCCCTTGTTAAAGTTATGAAATAGTTTGATAACAAGCAGGAAATGTTCATGGGCCATTGACGTGACCACATTGAAATGGTCTATTCCAACCGTTCAGGAAAAACTTTTTATGAAAAAGTTTGTCTTATTTTTAACCAAAATATGGCAAGGATTATAGAGACAACTCAACCTGTGAATGCCTGTGATGCTTTCTTCAACAATGCCCTTGACTTTCTTGAAGATGTGTGGATATTTCTTGTATATCCAGTGTGTCATGTCTCCTCCATCATCAAGGATCTACACATGCACAAAATGCCATTAAACAAACTTCTGTTTACAGGTTCAAAGAGACAAGAGGACACCCCTGATTCTTGAAGGTACCATGTTTGGCTCCCAGCCCTCAACATTTACACAACGATCAATACACCACCAGAAGTCATCCTCGGACTCTCCTTTCCATGCAAACACTGGGAAGTCTGTCATGAAGAGCAAAGAACAAGACAAATTAGAAAAAGGTAGAGAAATCAGTGCTTGTAAAACAAACAAAAACATTTAATGTTCACCAAATCTTGATTAAACATTAAACTATTTTACTTGTATAATATTAATTAAAAACAATAGTTTATAAAAAATATTTTAATGTACTGAAAAAATAATAATAATAATAAATTGTGAATCAATATCTCTTACTTTCATTTATAAAAAATAGAAATATGAATTACATTTGTGACTTATCAATGGTTGTAAAAATATTTTTAGGTGGCCATTTTTGCAATATTTTGAAATACATGTTGTATACATGACATATTTTCTATGTGTGATAACTTGTATGTCATATATGTTATTTGCATATATATATTCACATATTTTTTATTTTTCTATATTCTTCTAAATGGGTTTGAATCAATCTGAATCTGACCTATAAATTATTATATAACAATTAGAGTAATTTTCTTTTTACCTCGCTCTGCTAAAGCTGCTGCCACTTCATTCTGAGTAGAGTAAATATTGCAGGCTGCCCACCGGCACTGAGCCCCTAACCCCGACAGAGTCTCAAACAGCACCTGTTGAGGAAAATAAATAAATAATTGAATGTATTTTTTACAGTCTGAGTCATGGCACGCCATCAACCTACATCTTGTTTGTTTGTTGTGAATACATACCTTTTAGTGGTGACACAAAATGAGTAATATTCAATTCAATTCATGTTTATTTCTATGTTTATTTAAATTCTTTTGCAATTTAGATTGTGTCAAAGCAGCTTAACATTGAAGTGCTAGAGAATCAAACATTTGTCAGTCAGTTTTCAGAGCTGAAGTTCAGTTTAGTTCAGTTCACTGTGGTTTAATTTTCACTTCTGTAGCTGAAGAGCAAATCCACCGATAGTATTGTGAAGTATTTAACTATTAATTTTTATTTGTTTAATAATAATAATAATGTGTGGAATATTTTAAAGAAAATGACATGATTAACAAAGCAATCATAACAGATAATTAAATTAGTTATGCTAAAAAATTACGCAGTTATTTTTCAAGATTTGAGATGAATGATAACGGTGTTAATTATAATCATTTACTTTGCACAGTTGTTCCCTCCTTCTCAGAAAAGATTATTATTGATGTTGATGAAGTTAGAAAAATGGGTCACACTTTACAATAAGGTTCATTAGTTTATGTTAATTAATGCAATTACTAACATGAACAAACAATGAACAATACATTTACTAACGTATTTGTTCATTTTAGTTAACGTTAGTTAATGAAAATACTGTAGTTCATTGTTAGTTCATGTTAACTCATGGTGCATTAACTAATGTTAACAAGCACGGACTTGGATGTTAATAATTAGTAAATGTTTAACTATGGTTAATAAATGCTGTACATGTGTTGTTCATGATTAGTTCATGTTAGTAAATGCATTAACTAATGAACCTTATTGTAAAGTGTTACCGAAAAATGTTAAATGTTTCAGTCCACAAATGTGAGAAAAACAACAGTATGTAATCCTGTAATCCTGAAAAGTTGTGCCTATCAGTTAGCACCATTGTGGCAATCAATTTTTCAGAAATGTATAGACAAGCAGACATTTAGAACTATAGACCTGAAGCTCTTCCTTCTGTGATTATGGAATGCTTAGAGATAATTCTACTTAAACATCTGGTAAGCAAGCACTATAAAGCAAAAACTTATTCCGTGTTAATTTGCTTATAGGCAAGGCTGTAGTATGGAGGATGCTGTGGTGCACATTGTTTCTAAACATTCAGAGATACCAAATACTTGTGTAAGGGCTCTTTTTCTAGATTTTCTCTTAGCACTCAATACAATCAGTGCAGATATTCTAGTATCTAAACTTATTAAGTTGTAAGTAAATGATCTGATTAGGGGGTATGTTTTAAACCGAACACAGCTATGTCAGTGGCAATAAACAAATGCTGGAGCACTCAAGGTTGAGTATGTTCTGCTATGCTTTTCATTGTGCACACAAACGACGGCCGTGCAGACAGATCTAATCAATTAAACTTAAAGTATGCAGATGATACACTATTAATAACTTTACTGAGTAAGGTAGAAGTTACGGGATTGCATCAGCAAGGTGTGAATAATTTTGTGGAGGGGTGTGGCAAAAATGCTCTTGTGATTAACCTAGTAAAAGCAGAGGAAGTCGTGTTCACGTCCACAACATCTGATGTATCTACAAACCCTGTAGTTATACATCATGTAAACATCAGACAGGTAACATCAGAGAGGTAGACAAATATAAATATTTGGGTGCAATAATAGACAGCATGGTTTCATAGAACGGTCATATTGATAATGTGTGTGCAACAAGATTAAACAAATAATCTATTTTTTGCATCGTCTTGAATCGTTTTGGAGCATCGAAAAAGATTCTTGATAAATTTTTTTTTATGTCTGTACTTATGAGTGTTCTGCAGTATTGTAATTCTGTATGGTATATGAGTTTGTCTGTGAGTCTAAAAACAAAGTTGATAAACCAGATTAAAATCTGTTCAAAGATAATAGGAAAGCCTCTTTCGGAATTATATGACAGTTCGTATTACAAGAGCATCACAAGTCTGGCAAGGACTATCATTTCGATCCCCAGTCAAGTGTTAAATCATGAATTTATACCATTAAAGTCTAACCAGAGTCCTAAGTTTTAATAAGGAGAAACTTAAAAAAATCTGTTATTTCCAGAATATTACTTTGCAATAATATTATCTTCACAATGTCACTCAAAAAGATTGGCCATCTACAAAAGACAAATTCAAGATATAATGCAATCAGTAATTCAATGGTCTATCAGCTCTGAAATTAGGATCTTTAAAGTATCTTGACATTCAGCAGAATAAATCAAACGGCTAATCTGATCGAAAGCTTTTGCAATCAAAGTTACGACTAAGATATTTACACTACAGTCAACGAACTGTGAAAGAAACTTGATAAATAGTGTAGCAATAGAGTTTCTTTTAAAAGTAAATCCTCAAATGTCCTCCTTACATTGGAAAAAGTCTCTGACAGTGACAGTAAACAGTGAACTATTGTTTCAAAATATAACAAGCCTCACCCGAAGGAGTAAACAGTGTTTGGTTTTCAGAATGTTCTCTGTACATTTCACGTGAAGCTTCCTAATATTCTATTTTGACCAATGTTTCTTTAAAGGTGCAGTAGGTGACTATCATTAGAAACATTTTTTTGCTGTGCTGGTTAAAAGTCTCTTTACATTCCAATAGTAATGATTGAAGTAAATGATCTGAATGTATTTATATGTATTTTTAGATTCTGGGTGAGGCAAAAGACTAAAAAAAGTTCATCCAACTAACATTTGTCTTGTCGATAATTCCCATAATTCTGATAAGAAGCCCAAATTGTCTGTCAACAGATGAAGATTAATAAATCTGCGCAGTCGACAACAGACAGATCCACCATTTGCACGTACACACGTGTTCACGTGCACACAAGAGAGAGAGAAGGCGATAAAAACAAATGCTGAATCAAAACTTTTTAAAATCTTGAACCAATACTGGAGTTACTTTTGCATGATGACACCATGTCTGAAGTGTTTATTTTAGACAGGGAATGTTCTGTTTTAAAACTATTTTAGTCACACAAAGCTGATGCAGATTGTGTTGTTTTACGAATGGGTTATATGCACAGAAGTGTTGTTTAGCCACTGAAACCTTCCGGCGAAAGGTTGACTATTTTCATTTAAATTTACAATTTCATAGTGCACCTAGCCTTTTACAGTATCGATAATGTAGATTTTTGTTAAGTTTAACAACAAAACATAAGTAAATAGCGCTATTCCGCCTAGCCTGCTTTACTGAGGTGTAGTTGGTTTCATATTCACATTAGCTAATTTTTGAACAATGACAACCTGTGAGGCGCTCCCTATATTGTTTACCCTGCTACTCTGAATATTCAGTCTGAAATAGCATGTAAGGGGCCGATCACACTAAACTTGCATTTACATTCCAAAAACACGAGGCGCTCCACACTGCCAATTTTGTTGACAAAAAAGTTTTTTTTTTGTTTTTTTTTTGTACTTGATTTTACTTTAAATTAGTAAACTGATTGCCTTAGAATTATTAAGTAAATGACCTATATGCATAACTATAAAAATTACGTTAAGTCAACTTAACAGTTCCAAGTTACGGTTTACTCACCTTTTAAATTAAAGTCAACTTGTTGCTTTTAAGGCAATAGTTTTACTCATTTTTTTTAATCTTTTTTTTATATGGAATATTATATTTTTATTTTGACCTTAAAGCAACACAGAGCAATAAAAAAGCAACATCAATTATAAAAACAGAAAAGAAATGCAAACAAAACAAACGAACAAAAACGAAATAAGACAGAAAAAAAAGATTTTATAACCATTTTTACATCAGTTTCTTCAGTATTATACATGGGGCAACAATGTTATGCATGTATACTGTATCTAGGCCAGTGGAAACAGGCAGTATTGGGATCTTGCAGACGATGACAGGGTTGGAACTTTAAAGTTTTATCCTTGATGTTTGACAGATAATTAAAAAAGTGTTTCCAGGTGGCGTCGATGTTTTCAGAAAGATTATGGAAGTCTCTCTAAATGTAAAGTGCTAGAAAATTCTCAAAGCCAGAATTAAAAAAGTGGTTTTGTTGCCTTGTAGACAAAGAATAATTATTTTAGCTATCACCATTCCATATTGGACAGCTTTTTTAATTTGATGACTGAACCCACGAAGTGATTTAGACCAACCAAAAACAGTAATTGCTGGATCAGGGGTGGGTTTACAAGAATAAGCCTCAGAGTAGACCTGTACTACTTTATATTGGAGTAGTCTGTGTCTTGAGTTAATAGAACATGTATTTATGACCTTGATACACTTTTTTCAATCCTCATTGGTAATTTGGATGCCAAAATCTTTTCCCATGATCTTTTCTAATCATTTTTTTTTTTTTACAAAGAGATCAATTTAAAGTGTCCCTGCTAAATCCAAATCTTCATTTATTTCACAAATGTTACTGACCCTATACTTAAACTTGAATAATATGTTTAGTTAAATGTTTACTGTTATTACTTATGATAAAGTTAAGTACATTTATGTTGTATAATCACCTAAGGTAGGGGTGATGTATGGGTGCTGATGAGGGTTTAGGTTGGGGTTTCATGTTTCTTTGACCTTGTAAAACAGGTTTTGTTTTTACAGGACTTTTTCTATCTGTCAACACAATGCAGTTATACATCTAGTGAAGGGATAACAGATGATACTTACAGCTGTCTGGGCCGTGACGTGGGTACATCCTACTATTTTAGCCCCTGCCAATGGTTTCTCACCCTGGGCAGCTTTTCTTAACGCCATTAGTGCAGTCATCTCTTCATCAAATAAAGGTACACACATTACATAACATTACATTTCTTTCAGTCACATAATAAATTCATATGTCTTGCTTTTACAGTGCTCAGCATAATTAAGTAGACCCCATTTTATAAATTATTATTTTTATCTATTTCCCAGTGAATATATTTTGGTGCATTTCAATAAAACAGATTTATTAAACATATGTATTTATTAAAATTATATTTTAATTACCAAAAATATTTAGAAATTGAAAGATAATACAATTAAATTCAAGCAAAATATTGCAATTTTTTTTTTATTTCAAAATTTTTCCACTGTTTTGATTTTTCCTCTTTTTAAAGTTTGTATTTAATATTTTTCTATAACATATAATCGGTGTACTAGTTTTTGGACCGTTATCGTAATCTATTTGGTTAGATAAGCTCCAGATTTGGCTTCAATACTGAATAATCAAATGTACAGTATATGCACAAATATAATATTGTTTAGCTATTAAAAATTAGAATTTAGAAGATAGATTTGTAAGGGGTGTACTTATATATGCTAAGCACTGTATGTATTAAAATATTCTGCTTGTGTACCATCCTCAGCAAGCTCTATCTGTCGACGGCCAAAATCTGCCAGCTTGATGTTTTTAATGCAGAAGTCCTTGTTCCCTTTTGAGTTCATCCTTTGCTTGTCTCGAGGAGAAACCTCGTTTTCTGGGTCTTCTGCATCTGAACCTCCTGAAAAATGAGAAATTAAATGATAAAGAAAACTAAAATCAATCTGGAAATATTACACTACCGGTCGAAAGTTTTGGCGTCAGTAAGATGCCCTTCCAGCCGCAACCCATCTCTGGGATTATTATTATTATTATTATTATTATTATTATTATTATTATTATTATTATTATTAGTAGTAGTAATAAAAGCAATAGTGACTATATTTAATAAATAAATATTTAACAATTTATCATTTTTTTTACATTTAATAAATGCCGCCTTTATAAACAGAATAATTTTCTTAAAAAAAACATGAAAAAAACAACAACTCCAAACTTAAAATTGTAGTGTTTATCTTCAAAAAGGTGATAGAAATTGCTGGGCATCTACCTGAGCTGTTGCTGTCTGTAGAGGAATGAGAAAGAGAGTGCGACAAGGACCGGCGACCCGTCTTTGTTAGTCGATTGTCAAATTCCCGTGTTTGCTCAGGATACTCAATTTGCTGAGGAGAAATTGATGAATGAAATATTTATTTGTATACATTTTATATTCAATATATTTGAAAATACAGAAGACATATTCATATAATTTGTTTGTAGTATTAAAATTAAACATTATTATGTAGACTTCAAAAATATTTACGCTTTTCAGGATAATTTTCTACTTTTTATTTTCACTTAAAATACGATGTTGGATTATAAGGATAGTTCATCTGAAAATTTAAGTTTACTCACTATTTACTTACTCTCAAGTAGTTCCAAACCTTTATGAGTTTTCTTATGTTGAACATAAAATTATGTATTTTGAATAATGTTAAATACAGTTGACTTCCATAGTAGGAAACTCAATGAAGAAAAAGTCAATGGCAACAGGTTTCCAACATTTTTCAAAATATCTTCTTTAGTTTTCAATGGAAAAAAATATATTGATTTGTTACAAGTGAAGGGTGAGTAAATGATAACAGAATTTTGAGTTTTGGCCGAACTATTCAACTATTTATTTAACAACTTTCATTTAAAATTGCTAGTTGAAAACAAGTAAAACATTAAATAACTTGTGACATGAGACTGCAATTTAAATATGTATAAATTTAAATGCAGGGCAAATGTAACAAATATATAAAAACCTAAAGCAATTTTCCAAAATAGCAGAAAACTTATACTAAATAATGAAAGAATATTAAAATAGTGTTTGACCTGTTACTGCTCATAAGATCTAAGAGACTGGTTGTACAGTAACTATTAATAGCTCACTAACTCGTACACCAAGTCAAATAAATTAATAAAGGTATGCTTGAAATGAAACATGAGGATTTTTTTATCTATTAGTTTGTTAGTTCTGAAACTGCTCAACCGTATTAGCAAGTTAATAATATAAAATAATTAAACAACACACACACACATACATACAAACATACCACAAGAAAGAGAACCTCTGCTTTAAAATAAAGCAAACATATTAACTGCAACTTCTACCTTAAGAGATTTTAAATACCTTGATGTTAAGAGATAACACAGCATCTTTAGGTTCCCTGTTTTTAGTTAGACTAACCAGGCTGTAGACTTTCCTCATGGTGTTTGATCCACTTGAGAAATGCGTCGGATAGCTCCCTCATCAGCATTTAAAGGCTGAACCACAACAGTAATTGTTGTGCCATAACGTGAACTGAGCAGGCTGGAGAAGCATGGGTCCACTGTCAGATGAAATCCTACACTGTGAGAGCGAAAGCTTCACAAGAAACTCAAAAGTCTCTTTCATGTGATGTGATTCGACAATGATTAAAGTCTGTGAGGTCACAAAAGTTCCCACAAGTCATTTATTAATTGTGGCTTAGTGCCACTTAGCTGCTACCGTGCAATTGTAAGTGCACTGATCTGTGTTCAGCCAATGTTTCTGTTAAGGGCTGTTAATGATGATCAAGAACTGGTTATTCAGTTATGCATCATTTAACAGGCATGTTTTATCCAAAATGACTTACTGTTCGCTAACTAAAGGGACTGTCCCCTTTGAGGAACCTGGAGTCAAGTGCCTCGTTCAAGGACAAAAGGGAGGGAAAGAAGAAACTCAGCAGCTTTCATATTTAAGGCTAACAATAACACTAATGCTACATGAAATATTATGCTGTTTTTGAACCATACTATAGTAAAGTATGTCAGCTGTGTATCTGTTTCCAGCAAGCATTTATTTTGTTTTTAAAAGATGTCTAATATATGTCTAATAGACATCTAAACATAGTCGTCTTGGCTAAAACAAGGCTAAATTTGGACGGTCAGTGATAATCTAATAGAATAGAATAGGCCAAAACTGTAAACAGAAATGAATGACTACACATATAAAGTCTGTCTAATATATTTGACCACTTTGAGCTATTTGTTCATTAGATTTTCACTGACAGCCCAACTTTAGCCTTGTTTTAGCCAAGCTGTCTATGTTTAGATGTTTATTAGACGTCTAGTAAAGACAAAATTGTTTGCTAGGCTGTGGCAATGCTTTAGTTAGTCATATAAACAAATTAGGGGAGAGTGGCAAAAATTATCTGGATGCAGCCTTTATGATGCAAGCTGAGATTGCATCATTCAGCGATGCTATGTCAGACACAATGCACTCAAATGGAGTGAGTGATGTCAATGTGATGGGTAGGGTTAGGTGAGCCCATTAAAAAGCATTGGATGCAGTTCAGATTGCACAGCACCAGGTTTGCATCCAGACCCCTTTCGAGAGTGGGGACAGTTGCAACACTTTTTGCCTTTCCCTCAGGTTCTCGGAGACAGCTTTTTGTAAATACCTCAAATTTAATATAATAAACCCACATTTATTGGGCACCCACCGACATTGCTATTATATGTGTACATATGATAATATATGCAGAATTTACATTTAATTTAGACAAAGTCAAATGTTGCAACATTCATTAAAATGTCATAATAAAAGAAATTCTAAAACATCAGTTGGATTTTACTTCTTTTTTTTTTTTTTTTAAACAGACTAAATGTAAATTGGTTAATTGTTAAATGTGTTAAATTGGCCATAAATACGCACTATTAAAATAACAGGCAACAATCAAATATCAGGCCTAAAAAAACTGAACAATTGTTTTTTTTTTTTACAGAAAATTTAGACTGAACTATTAACTAAAGTACTTTTTTGAAGTTTAAAATGAATTAATTCATTAAAGAATTCTTTATTTTTATTAAATTACATTGACACCGTAATAAAATTTAAAGTGTACATTGTTTACATGGCAAGCTCTTAAATACATTTTGTATATTATAACTGTCCCAGCTCTGTCAACCCTGATTAAACTGGCTTTGCTTGGGAGATACAATTGCTTTAATGCTTGATGCTCTGCTTTAATGCTCTGAACATTAAGAAAATATATATATACCAAACAAAAATGAGTTTTATACTGAAGGAATGATCACATATGGCGGATTTTTCTCAGATTAAAGGAGGGTATAACTGAGAATATGTATGAATATCATCACTATAGCTCATTCCTGAATGGAGGAATTAATCTTGCTGCAATCACCCACTGTTGCAACCGTCTCCTATTTCTCCTATTTCTCCTATTTCGCACTTTCCTATTGTGCTATTTGTTCTACAGTTAGGAATATTATACTACACCACACCTCAGTTGACTTTAGTAAAAAATATGCTTACTACAGTTTTATTACAGTTTATTAGTTAATATTACAATATGATGTTTAGCATTATTAACCGGGTTGTAAGAACTATCAAATATAAAGTAATATCAACACAATCTCACAACAACTTTTTTATATAGTGGCTAATTTTTATTAATTTGTGCAATCTAATTTGTACATTTTAGGATGACTTGCTTATCCACCAATGAGAAGTGGGTTTAGGGTTGTGGTTTTGGGACACACCACCTTTTAAAAATTATACTTTTTCACATGAATGAAATAGTAGTTTGTATGAATTAGCCACGTTTCTGACAATATGTAAAATATTTACATTTCCGAGATCAGGCTGATATAATACACTTTACTATAATATGGTTCAAAAACACTATAGTATTTACTACAAATATCTACCATTATTTCACGTGAGAAGAAACTGTATTTACTCTATACTCTTTCTGTATACTGACCGTTTGATTGTCACAGAAACTGCTTCCTTACCGCACCTTGGGGTCAACTGTTTATGGCTTAAGAAAACTGAATGGCTGTTGATTTCAGTGCTTAAAACATTTAATGTGTAAAAGCCCAGCATATTTAGGTTACCTATACCTTGATATTTACCCCCTCCCACATGTAGTTACACAATCCGTTTGCTTCTCACATTAACCTTGGTGTAACCTGGGGTCAAGTTTTCAAGTATAAAATGGAGGTGACACTCAGATTCATGAGCCATCTTTCCAAAAGATGAATTTAGCACTTCTATTTTTAGTTTTTCAAGTTCATCTCAGATCTTAAAAGGTTCCTCACTCACTTTCCTTTTGCTTGGTCCTTGCTTTATCAGGGGTTGCTGCAGTAAAATTAATCGCCTATTGTTTTACTGGAAGATACCCTTCCTGCCACAAAACAGATCTGAAAGTACAACCCTATAGGGGCAGTTGTGGCCTCATGGTTTGAAAGTTGGACTTGTACGCTACCTGACAAAAGTATTGTTGCCTATACAAGTCTTAGGAACAAAAATAATTATCTTGTCAAGGTTTGGACAGGAAGGTCTTTGCTTAGACAAAAGTCTTGTCACTTAACAGAAATAATGTACAGTACAGAACATAAAGTCATGGTGCAGTGGAAAAAGAATGGTCACACTTTATTTTGATGGTTCGTTTGTTGAATTTAAGTTACATTGCATCTACATGCAAACTAATTGTCATTAGATTTTAAGTAGAGTGTTAGGTTGGGGTTAAGGTTATGGTTAGTGTAAGTTGACATGTACTTGCAAAGTTTCTTATAGTCAGGTAAATATCAGTTGAAGGAGCAGTATCAGCATATATTAAGCAGACAGTCTACTAATACTCAAATGGACCATCAAAATAAAGTGTCACCAAAAGAATGGATATTATGTATAACTGCCATGAGCTTGGAGGACTGCACACATCTCTGCAATGGTTCAAATGATGTATTAATAAAGTCATCAAGAAAATGTTCTTTATAAAGTTTATAAAGATTATTTGGATTCATCTTCAATGCCTCCTCCTTCATCTTACCCTAGAGATGCTCAATAATGTTCATGTCTGGTGACTGTGTAGGCCCATCATGCGCACCTTGATCTTCTTTGCTTTCACAAACTTTGATGTGGAGACTGAAGTATGAGAAGAAGCACTCTCCTGCTGAAGAATTTGCCTTCTCTTGTAGTTTGAAATGTAATGGGCGGCACAAATGTTTTGATACCTCAGGCTGTTAATGTTGCCATCCACTCTTTCGCATGCCCATATGCAGAATGTAACCCCAAACCATGATTTTTCCTACACCAAACTTGACTTATTTCTATGTGAATTGTGGGTCCATGCGGGTTTCAATAGGTCTTCTGCAGTATTTGTGATGACTGAGGTGCAGTTTAACAGATGATTCACCTGAAAAATCTTCCCCCTGCCACTTTTCCAAATGATCAACAAGAAGTCAAGTTATTATTTGTTGCTCTTACAACTGGGATCGACGACAAGACTTTTGTCAGGTACTGTAGTGTAATCCAAAGGTCACAGGTTTGATTTCCGATTGCCCTCTGCCCACTCCTACTTGGATGGGTCAATACTAGAGGACCAATTTTGAGTATTTGTAGCAATACTTAACCATACTCACATCATTTCAGTCAGTTCTGGGAAACTGAACATTACATGAACATTAACTCTCCCATTCACACACTACAGCCAATTTAGTTTACTCAATTCAGTTATAGCACATGTCTTTGGTAAATCGGAGAACCTGGAGGAAACTCAAGCAAACACAGGAAGAATGAATTCCACACAGAAAAGCCTCCTGGTCCAGCCAGGACTCAAACCAGCAACCTGCTTACTTTGAGACAACCGTGCTAACCACTTAGCCCTTAAAAGGATAGTTCACCCAAAAATTTTAATTTCCTCATCATTTACTTACATCTAAGTGATTCTAAACTACTGAGCACACAATCCCTTTAACTCTCTTTCTGAATCTAGATAAAATTGGAACTTGTCTGGTCTGATATTAAACCAACATTTCCATTAAATCAACCTGAAATCAAACGCCTTGGTCAAGGGCAAAATGGTAGTAGACCTTTACAACCTGCAGATTCATTGGTCTCCTTTTTAAGTTTTGACGTCAGCACTTCTACGCACTCCATTGACCAAAACAAACATTGAACCCACTCCAAGTCCAGTATAAAACAGAGAAAGAACAGTTCTGTTTCTAACAGGTGTCTTCAGAATACCTTGTTTTGTGTTTAACAGAAGGAAGAAATCCATAAACGTTTAGAACCACTTAAGTGTGAGTAAATGCTGAGGATATTTTCAGGTGAACCATCACTTTAACAACTTTCAGATTTACGGTTGTTCCATTCCAAAGCTTGACTTCAGCTGCCGCGGACATTTAATTCATTCCAAAGTTCATAATAATCAGAACATCGTCAGTTCTGTACACTTTAAGAACATTCCCATTGAAGCAGCATGGAATCTAGCACCCTGATTTAGGACTAAATGGTTTTAAGGAAACCAAATAACTCTCAGACATAGATCTCCATTTTTAAGGTTTGACTTTATCACTTCAATGATCAGAACAAACATTTAAGCTCTTCTAAACTGGCATTGAACTGGATTTTTGACA